ATCACTAATGGTAGAATATTAGGCAGTTGAGGGGTGTGTGGGGGAGCTGTGAGAGGCAGCCAGGTCTCAGCACACTTAAAATCACATCATTTCATACAGTTAGTTCACCCTGTGTCTATGATTAAGACAGACCTCATTGGAAAAGGATCCCACAGAAGTCCAAGTAAGTACAGGGCTGTGCCCTATGCCCTCAGCTGTCTTATTGTCATCTACTGGTCTAGAAAGAGCCATACCCTGCAGTCTTTCCAAGGCAGAGCAAAAGTAGGTCCCAGCTCACAGTGCTTGGGAGAGTGCAAGGGACTGCTTGTCTCTGCTATTGATATGTGAGTCCAGGGCATTGCCTAAACTTTCCTGGGCCTCAGTTTCTTACTGTGAAGTATGGGATCATAATAAAGCCCTACAATCACCGATTCCTCTCCTAACTTGGTCGTCTTTCCTCAATCTTGGTTTCTGTTTCAGCTGCCTACTCATTCACCCTTATATAAAAATCTCATTACCTTCCTTTCCCAGCTGGGTCTTTCCAGTCTTGCGCTTCTCTTTTTGCCCTTGATTCTTACGCACCATCAGTCTGCTTCATCTCTACACACACCATTATAAACACACATGTATGTCCTTGCACACTGGAGGTGCTGAGCAAATGCTCATAGAATGAATGGATGCAAAGAACAAATGAATTCCTGCATACGTTCCTTAAATACTTAGCGAGTGCCTATTGTTATACATGGATACTAACCTGTCCCTCTACGCTCCAGATCATCCCTCTCCTCCCTTTCTCCTCAGCTTCTTCCTTTCCCATCCTATTCCTTTTTTTTTTTAATTTCACTGCACCGCGGAGCTAGAACGAGTGCCCTGCCAGGCAGCATGCAGAGGCACAGAAGCAGGCAGGCTGGTGGAAACGGACACCATGGAAAGGAGCCAGATGAAATAAGGGCAAAGACAGCTGTATAACATGCAGAGAGAAACCAAGCAGAATGAAAAGCCGTGATTCATGGAGCACTGCAACTCAGACACTCCTTGGATTTCACTTTGAGAGCTCTGGCCGGATTGGGGTCAGTTAGGGCTGGCACCAAGATGAAAAGCAGCCAGGCTCCTCCTCCCTGGAGATGTGGTGCTCCAATCCCTCCCCTTAATGCTTTTCTACCCACTCTACCCCCACGACGCCCTCACTGACCAGTGTCCTGGGCCTTTAAGACTTGGTGGGCTGGACTGAAGACAGCTCACACTTCTCCCCTCCCCACTCCTTCCTTCTGGCTGTAACTCTGCCAGTCACAGCAGCAAACTGCAGTAGAAGAGGGGAGGAAGCCAGGGAGTGCAAGCGGAGCAAAGGAGAAAAAAAGCCGGCTGGGTTTCCACAGTGAAGAGCATTGCAGAGCTCACAGACACAGGACTGCTATCCTGCACACGGTAAGGGCCTGGAGGCTCTGACCAGCCTCTGTTCCAAGTTCTGTCCTGCCTGAGCCCCTAGCTCTGCCTTCCACATGCTTATGTGCCCTGATTAAATTGCACTCTGGCCCTGGCCCAGTGGTTCAGTTGGTTGGAGCGTTGTCCTGTATACCAAAAGGTTGTGGGTTCGATTCCCAGTCAGGGCAGGTGCCTGGGTTGCTGGTTTGATCCCCAGTCAGGATGCATATAGGAGGCAACTGACTGATCTTTGTCTCTCACCAATATTTCTCATTGATGTTTCTCTCTCTCTTCCCCTTCCTCTCTCTCTAAAATCAAGAAACATATCCTCAGGTGGCAATAAATAGATATACACCCTGGACTCCTTTGCTGGAACAGGTCACAAGGCTCTGATCTCCTGGTTTTCTCTAGCTTATCCTCTTTGACTTGCAGTTTTCCTGCTGGACGGTGTCAGTCACTTCTTTATATGGGATTTCTTAGCTACCCAGGGCTGCTACTCAGAGGTGAGCCCCACCATAGAAAGGAAAGGGAATTGGAGTAGCTGTGCTTTAGCATGGATTCATTAACAGGTAGCTGAGGGTTACCAAATGAGGGTTGGCCAAGACCCATGTGGAGTCTAGAAACCCCGGGAGAGTTGCAGGACTTCCCTGGAAAGAACCAGGGTTTGGGTTCTGTACCTCATTCTTTGCTTGCTCACTGGACCAGGACAGTTTGTGGGCATGCCCAAGTGCTGTTCTGGGAAGAGCACTTGCTTCTAGTCCTTACTTTGCCATCAACCAGGTATGTGACTTTGGACCCGAACTTCCTGGTCTGTGATAAGAGGGAGTTTAGGGTTTCCCAGGCTTGCCTGTGTATCGGGTGCTTGGTAAAAATAAATCTACCTGAGCCCCATCCTTGGAATTTCTGATCTGGTAGATTTCGGTTGGGGCTAAGGAACCTCTGTTATAAAACACTCTCCAGGGAATATTGATATAGCCAGGAACCTCTGGAGTAGATGTGTCATAAAGGAATCTTCAAGCCCTAGCTTTCTGAGCGCTATGACCCACATCTGGAGCCATTCTGTCCTGTTTATATGAACCTGGTCAGGCATAATCCTGCTCAGATACAAAAGAGTAGACAAGATGTAATGACTTTGGGGGTGGGGGGAGTAGACAAAATGATTCTCTTCCTTCCTGCTCCTCAGAGAGACCCGAGACACCCTGAATTCCACTGTAATGCCACTGGCAATTCTGCCAAAGTCCATGTCCAGGTGACATAAGCCACCTGGAAGTTGAGGACCAAATCTTGCTTGGCAGCCCTGGCCACTTCCCACCTTACTTTGTGTCTCTGTTTTCTCATCTGTACTATAGAGGAAATTATCTGTACCCTCTAGGATCTCCATATGGGTATCCATCCACGAGAGAACAGCTAACACCCAGCCTCTCTTACTCACAGTCTTCACCCTCGCTCGGCTCCTCGCCTCTTGCTCTGGCTCTCCCAGGTGCCCTGCGTCTTCTTTCCTAACTGCGCCTGCATCAGCTGCAAGCATCCTTCCCGTTTTGCCTTCAGACACCAAAGGAAACACCAAGGCCTAGAACACCTGGGTTCTAAGTCACATTCTCTGGGCAGTTTGTTTAGTCAGTCTCCTAGGATACAGGGGAAAGTGAGGCTGAGCAGAGGGATGTGCTACTGGACCACAGTTTCAAAATCCTCACAGGGGTCGAGAACCAGGAAAAAGAGACGAAGAAGTGGTGAGGAGAGGGATGAGAGGAGAGTAAAGAGAGGCTGACAAGTGAGCAAGTGGGGAGGCAGAGAGAATAGGAGAGAAAAGGGGAGCTGGGGAGAGAGGGAAAGGAATGGTTAGGCAGAGGGAGGGGAAAGGAGAGAAAATGAGAAGAAAGAAAAGGCTGTTTTGTGGGATATGAGGGAAACAGGACATGATGGAAGAGAGAGACAAAACTTTGCTATTTCTCATAGATTCTTAGCCCTGCTTTAACCTGCTTCCTAGTGAAAGCCCTTTCTAAGGTGAGATCTCTGAGCTGGTCATGTGGAGATCTTGGTTCTTGTCCCAATTTTGCCACCTAGTTTTTTGGTGACTCTGGCAGTTGAGCTAATCTTTTTAGTGCTCAGCCCTTTTCTCTATAAAATGAAGTCCAGCTCTGACACTCTGTAACTGGTGTTGAAACTGACTTTCTTATGCATGGCCACATGTCACCTAGATACAGATTTGAAAGAGTGATTCAGGAATGGGAGCAGGATTTGAATGCCAAGTCCTGGGGTTGGAAGTGTTTGACAAAAGAGGGTAGAAGAATTTTCTAAAGCTCGTCTAAGAGGAGGGAGGCTCCAAAGTAGGGGTATCCTGGTACTTGGGCTCTGTTTTCAGGCTTTCCATGTTTTAGGATATTATTGTGTGGCTCCCTGACCCAGGTATAAGGGAAAGTAATTCTGTCTTCTCCCAGGGCCAAGGTCCACCCTATCCCAGAGTCCCTATGCCCCAGACACGGGAGCTGAAGTTCAGAGAGGAGATAAGGTAGGATGTTGGCAAAGGGGTTTAGACTTCAGCCCCAGGCTGACCCGCACCCCCACCCCCACCCCCAGAGTCTGAGGACCTGAGATACTTAAGAGGGACCTGTTTGTCATACTTTCTACTTTAGTTTTCATATAGCTTTTGCAAGCCTCAGATTCCAAACTATGCATCTCTACCTAGAAAATTAGAGATACTTTTCTATCTCCCCAAAGCACTCTGGGGCTCTTCCTCCATCCAAAGGTTTCTCACCCAGGCTCACACATTCAGTCTCAGCCAGCAAGACCTTTTCATCTTGGAACCATTGCAGGGTTCTTTCTCTCCTGAGAGATGCCTTGAGTTGTCTTTCCCGCTTTGGTACAGACTGATTCCCAACCTTCTCCTCTCCCTCTGGCACCTGTACATTGCTTCTCATTTAGAAGGCCTTCTCCAGGTCCTACACTCAGGGAAGCTGTATATTCAGTGATCTCTACCTTCTTTCCAAAGACTTAGTTACCCCCAGATGACTTTGTAGGCTCTCCCCACTAAAGAGACATAGGGCACTAACATGCTTTGTGACCTCAGACAAGTCACATCACATTTCTAGACTTTTGCTTTTTCATTTGTAAAACATAGGGAGTTGAGCTGCATGGTGTAGTTTTTTTTTTAAAAAAAAATGTTTTTATTGAATTTAGAGAGCGAGGAAGGGAGAGGGAGAGAGAGAGAAACATCGATGTGAGAGAGAAACATCGACGGGTTGCCTCCCGCATACCCCCTGACTGGGGCTGAGCCCACAAGCAACCTGGGTATGCGCCCCGACTGGGAACCCAACCCGCAACCTTTTGGTGCACAGGAGGATGCCCAGCCAACTCAGCCACACCAGCAAAGGTCAGGACATACTTGGCTTTAAATTCTGAATCCCTACGTGATTTGAGGCAAGTTTCTTAGCCCCTCTAAGTCTTAGAGGCACCAAATTCCATCGAGAAGTAAGAAGAGCTACAGATTGTATAGATGAAATGCCTGATACCAGTGGGCCATCCGGAAACATTTGTTTCCTTCTCTTTCTTCCTTGATCTGTTGTTAGACCACCAAGTTGAGCCCAGTCCTTTGCTCTTTCTTACTCCTTTAGGTGACTCTGGCGCCTGCTGGTGGAGCAGTGGGTGATGGCATCCCTGCTGCAAGGCCGTGAGTACCCCTGCAGAAGAGGGCTGGGGTGGGGGTGGGGGGGAACAACCCAGGGACGGGGAGGAGGCTGAACCCCTATTCAAGGGCTCCTCTTGGGCCCTCCACCCCCCTGGTCGGCTATCGAGCCCTGCTTCTCCCGGCCCAGGGCTGCCCGTCAATCAGGATGTGCTGCTGATGCAGAAAGGCACTCTGATGCGCAAGGTGAGATCCAAAAACTGGAAGAAGCTAAGATACTTCAAACTTCAGGAAGATGGCATGACAGTCTGGCATGCCCGGCAGGCCGGAGGGAGAGCCAAGGCCAGCTGTGAGTGACGTGGATAGCTCAGGGTGGGCATATGGGTGGGTGGAACCTGAGGAGCCCAGAAGCCTGGGAGCAGGAGAGGGACCAGGGTCCTATGATGTACCCTTGTGCTGTCCCACTTGTATCTAGGTCTGAGCCTACAAAGTGGGAATTACAACAGTACTTGCCTCTTAAGGCTGTTACTAAGGTCAAGTATTGCATGTAAAGGGCTTAGAAGAGTCCTGGCACATAACAAGGCTCAATAAACCATAGGTTATATCTTGTTATTTTTATTATAATAAAAGCATGATCTCAGGCATCCAACTGCCTGGATTAAAGCCCTGGCTCTGCCACTTTCTAGCTGAGTGGCTTTGGACAAGTTACTTAAACTAAGCTTCAGTTTCCTCATCTGTAAAATGGGTGTTAAACAGTACCTACCTAGTAGGTTACAGGAACTCAATAAATTAACGTCTAAAGCATGGAACCTGAAACCAGGTGCATTTAACAAATGTTAGCCATTATGGTAAATATTTTTAAATGTCATAAATGCATCATACGTGTGCATTCTATTGGCTGAACACTTTATGACCCCTCTAAAAATCTGATCACAGGACACATCTAAGAGAGTCTGCTTTAGAGACACATCAAAGCTTACAATCCAGCTCAGCTGTAGTGGCTCAGTTGTTGAGAGTCAACCCATGAACCAGGAGATCACGGTTCGATTCCTGGTCAGGACATATGCCGGGGTTTCAGGCTCAATCCCCAGTAGAGGGCATGCAAGAAACAGCTGATCAATGATTCTCATCATTGATATTTCTATATCCCTGTCCCTCCTTCTCTCTGAAATCAATAAAAACATATTTTAAAAAAATTTCTCGCCCTAGCCAGTTTTCTCATTGGTTAGAGCATCAGTCCCCAGACAGAAGGGTCCCAGGTTCAATTCCAGCCACGGGCACATTCCTCGGTTGCAGGCTCCATCCCTGGCACCAGTCAGGGTGCATGTGGGAGGCAACCAATTGATGTATCTCTCTCACATCAATACCTCTCTCTCTCTCTCCCTTTCTCTCTCTCTCTTTCTCTCTCCTTTGCTCTCTCTCTCTCCCTCCCACTCTCTCTAAAAAGCAATGGGAAAAATATACTTGGGTGAGGATTAAAAATAAATAATAATAATAATAAATAAAATTTAAAAATAAATATTTCTCTGGCTCTCTCCTATCTGGAAAAAGGAAGCCTCAAACCTGGAATGGGAGAATTGAAATTGGTCATATCATGCTTTGGTGTAACTGCTTCTACCCTGCAACTGTGCTTCCATTTATCAGCCTCCCCAGTCCTTTTGTGATCACTATGTACACTGGCCATGTAAGGGACCATAACTTATTTAAGATGAGGACACTGAAAATTAAGTTCCTTTGTCTGTGACATCCTGGCAGCTGAAAGCTGGAAGCCAGGTGTTGCCATTCCCAGCACAGGCCCATTGACATGCTGCCTATGAACACAGCA